ACTCTTCCTATCAGGTTAAGACCGGCCGATCGGGCGCTAATAAGGTTGATTCTTTTAAGCGGAATAAGGAGTGACTTTGGAACCTTGATCTCTTGAAACAAGAGAATTAGTAATAACTCTATTTAACAATCTGTAAAGAGGAGTGAGTTCGTAACCTTTCACTTCGTTATTTGAATAGCCTTTCATAATAATCAAAATCAACTTAACGGGTACCGTAAGGGAATCAGTCAGCTCAGTGTTTTCAGTCAAGAAATTGGGGGTTTGTTTTGAAAAGATATTTTAGGAAAGCAATAAAGTCGGTGGGCTAATAGCATGTGAGCAAGCAAGCCAGTTTCCTTTCTTGTAGTTTGAGTTCTAGCTTCCCCGAAGATATTTCCAGTAGCGTCTTTATTGTTTCCTTCCAGGCTTTCTGCCTTCGTCTTTTGAAATCTCTTCTCCTGATGAGCCCGTTGGAGTTGCAGTTGGATAAGGAGTAGTTGGTGCCGCCTATCATGGAGAAGGAGTCTTTCTTGCCTATCCCTCAAGAATAGTGGCATACCCCATTGGAGTAGAAGCCTACCAAAAAGAAGTAGTTGCATAGCCAATTGCAGAAAAAAGGGTTGAAGTCCTAAGTGCTTCAATTGAAAATGCCTTTCCCTCTCCTTTTAGTCGAGTTGTAACATCCCTCTCGATAAATTATTTCATACCTTTGCCTGCGAACCTCTATATATTAGCGGATTACCCCTATTAGCGTATTATCTGTACTCGCTTGTGCTAGTTATCGGAGGGTCCTAATGAGGCGAGGGAAGAGTCTCCATCCCTAGTCGAGTTGCTCTTGGTCCAGACCAGACGAGTTGCCATTTCCCCTAGATGTCGTACCAACCAGTGGGAGAAAGATTAGGAAAGTATCTGTGAGTAAACCTTTCTATAAGTCTCCTTCTTTTTACTGTGAGAAATCCTGGGGCCAGTTACAATTATCCTATTTGCTTTCCATATATATTTTGATTAAGCAAGCACTTTTAAAAATGAGAATTCTATAATCGCCGAAGAAAGCTAGCCCTCTTTTCTAGCCTATCTATGAAGTCTTCCTAGCTATCCAATTGCTGCAAGGGAAAATCCATCAGTTTGAAATCATTATTTGAGTAAAGCAAGTGACTTTTTTGAAAGCCTTGAAAGCTCTTTCTTAACAAGTGGGGATCCATCAATAAAGGGCAAAAGCCCAGTCTCTTATCAAGTAAAAAGAGTAAAAGAAAGTAGGGTTATTTACGGGGTAGTCCGCTCTACCTTTGGCTCTAGATATGGTTTATCAATCAGAAGGTATCCGTGGTTATGCATGAGGGGTTTTGAGATTTCCCGCTATCTGAACCTAAACCCTGA